GGGGGCTTGGGGTGCCATCGGGTTTCAGCCGTTTCACGGCTGCTCCCCTTGACACTCCCTCGCCCCCACCCTCACCCTTGTTTGTCCCAGAAGGAGTGCTTGAGGCTGGGTTAGCCCTTCTCTCCTTCTGGAACCGGCGCCTTGCCGCGCCACTTATTCTTTTCCCCCTGGGTTGTTCTCCACCAGGTCCAGCATTCTGGCCCTGGGGTTCTTCCGTCCCAGGTGGTTTTTGTGTTTCTTTTTGTGTTCTGGTCTCCATATAAGTCCCACGAGTACCACGGTAGTGCGGTATCACCCAGGCAGAGCCGTGTATGCCTGGGGCTTGGCTACTTACGCTCAGAGGTCGCCTGGTATCCGAGGGAACCGTTTGAGATGCAACTTCTCCTGCACCATGCAGCCATTGGCACGGTATCATACACCGTAGCTTGGAGGAGCTGGTTCGCGATGGGTTTTTCGGCTTCCCTTGTGGTTTCCCACGTTTCGTTCGGCCTTATGTTCCCCATTAACCCGGTTTTTAGCCAACCCCACACAGAGGTCGAGACATCTCTGTCCCGGCCTCCGCCGAGGTGGTTATTCCGCCCGGCCGTCCTCCTATCCACCACCCGGAGACGCGCTCGGTTGGTGGCTCAACCGCGCTCTTCGCACCCCAGTCAAGGGGTTTAGAGAGACCCGAGCAGCGATATTTATATGAATGATTTTTATTTGCAAGTATATGAATCGTGCGATAGTCTTGTGGTTAAGTCGTTGGGCTAGTATGCGAAGGGTTCCGAGTTCAAACCCAACCGTAGGCGGGATATTTTAAGTTAACAAAATCGGCTTTTTCAAGCGTTGTTGAGTTAGGAGTTATGAGTTAAGGCATAATTAATAGGAAAATGAGCGTAACATGCATTAATAATTTTTTTTCTCCAATATTTCCAATATTGGTACTTGGCAAATAAGTCTTGGGCCAATTGTGGGCCAAAATTGGGCCCGACATGATCCCAATGCTTGGTCAATTATTGTTTGCCATTATTGGCCCGGCGTTATCATCCAACCGTTGGACCAATGATCGACCATTTAATTTACCAAAAGCCGGCCAGTACTGGCTATTGGCATACCAGGCTTGGACCAAGGCTCGCCCAATCAGAAATCATTATTATGATTTTCGAATTAGGGGAAAAAACGTAAATTAAGTTCAACAGTGTATATACCCTAGTAAATATTGGATTTTCAGTAAATCGTACACTAAAAAAATTCTTTGCTTTGGAAATAGGCACACAACGGTGAGCCATATTGCTTATGCAAAAAAGGAGAAAACCATGCGACGAAAAAAACTGCATGTAAATCCACCATACCCTAAAAATCTCGAGGAATATGGGACTTTTTTGCAGCAGGCTGAGTATCAGTCTCTATTGACTTATCCAAAGGGTCAACTCAAAGCTGAAATTCTCAAGGATGATAATTGAGACATTTCAGTAGTAATTGGCGACAGAGAATTTGTTAAATCCCTCGTGAAAAATGTTGAACCTTTATTGATGGAACTTTCGACTCGATTCCAAAGAAAGTTGGTGTTTTACAGATTTTGGAAATCCAACTATGCGTATTTGATCACGTAAGTCTCGACTTGTTACTCTTTCTTATCTACCAAAGAGAACATAATGGTTTAATGCAGGATTGTAATTGCTCATGCCCTGATGTCGAGAAAAACTCAAGAAGCATACAAGTCTGTGTACAAATATGTTTTTGAGGAACTAGCTCCAGAACTAAAGATGGAAATCCGAGTGCATATGGATTTCGAGCTGGCTGCGAAAAATGGTCTATTAGACGTTGTACCCATGGCCTCTATTGGACCTTGCAATTTTCATTTTACTCAAGTATAAAAAAATTATGTTCTGTATTTTAGCGATATAATCGTAGAATCAAATTTTCTCTCAAAAGAGATGTTTTAAAAATATGAATTCGTACTACAAATACCTGAAATGTGTCACAGCCACTCCGCCAAATTGTTATCACTTAAACACCACCGACATCTCATTTTTTAGTTATTTTATCCTGATTTTATTCCTTTATTTTTTAAGGCCGTAATAAAACAAGCGTATGCGAAAGGCGCTATTAAACGCGAAAAGAAGAGAAAAAGATCTGGGAAACCAAAGAGAAGAGACAATGAACACGATGAAAAAATTTCAGGGGCAGTTCAGAGACATTTACCTCTAATTTTGGCATTGGCCTTCTTACGTGCTCGCTTTATTGTCCCCATGTTCCAAAAAATCAAAAGTGAAATTGATAATGTCCAAGTACAGGCTCGAATGAACTCTTTTTATTGCATATTTTGAGAATCAGTGGATAAAAAACATCCCCCCAGAGCAATGGTCGGTGTACAAAGCTTCTCGGCGAACGAACAATGCGGCGGAATCTTGGAATAGGATCTTGCACCAAAAAATTGGAACAAAACCGACTCCCTGGGATTTTACAAGTAACATTAACAGTCAATAAATTAATAAATATGATCATTGAAATTGCCAATTTTTCAAAGGGTTTTGAGTTTTTATATTTATAGACGGGAAACACTTTTACACCTCCGCATATTTTATTTCATTTCAATTTGAACATAAGCAGTGTAATATTCAGTGGTTAATTACAACACTAGGAAAATTAGCGGACGTGCAAAATCGAGTCACATGTGATTACGACGCAATTGTGAACGGTATCACACGATATCCATTTCGATGGACTGATGAAAAAAAAGAGAGAACTTTGCGTAAAATTGAAAAAAAATAAAAATACAAAAGGTACACCCCGTGGGAATTCGTGAGGCAGGCAGCTCATTGCGTCAACTTTGAAAAAAGTAAGCATTAAAAAACTAGTTGTGGATCTTATTGCTTTATATTGTTTCGAATTTTAGAGTACAGAGAAAGACGAAGGACACAGGTCAAAAAGGACACATTTGAGGTGATTCGTGCTCAACCAGGGAGTATGAAAATGTGGATTAAGAAAGTTCACAAGCCGTGATTGACTGGAATGAACTGTGTTATGGCTGATTTGAGATAAATCATTTCACTAGCGATTATGATTACCATATATGTATATGGCATCATGTTAGCCTCGAAAAATAAATACATACAAAAAAAAACCGATTGACTTCTTTCTTTTGAATATATGATAATAAATATAATTTTCTGGTGCAATTTTAATAATCTCCTGAAATTTTAAAAGGATTTTTTAAACAAATCATTTTGACCTCCTATTGATTTTATTCTAAAATTTTTATTGTTTAAAAAGTTTTCCAAAATTTTAAAAAGTCGAGTAAAATTTTCAACTTTACTCTTTCCTCTTAAAAATTGAAATTAAAAATATATTTGGAATGGGCTATTTTGATATTGTTCTCCTCCCTTCAGTACACTATTTTTATAATTTTTTTGTCTTTTTTGTCTCAATTAAGCATTATTTGTTCATATTTGATTATGGATAGGTCCGGAAACTACAGAAAAAGTACTTAAAAAGCAAATAAAAAAGGGATATTGAGGGTATATTTTTATATGGCTAGTTTTAATATGAATGCAGCATATTTAAAATATACATTCAGTATCCCTTTCTTATATTTCAGTTTCCCCTCTAGTATATGATTATGGTATATTTAAATACTTTCTATAGAATTTCATTATTGTTTTTTTAATTAACACATTGCTTCAAAACTGTGAAAAATTGAACTCAAAGAAAAGTATAACATTTTAATATCCATTAGGTACCCAACTTTTATACTTTTCTGATATTTTTTATCGGATTTGGAACATATCTCAATAAACCTTTTTTTTAATTTCAATTTGATGAATAAAGAGTGGAAAGAGAATAAAGAAGATATATCGTTAGTATTTTGTTCGATTGAAAATAAAAAAAGTCAAAAACGACACAACTGTGCGACATGAAGTTGCAACCAATTTTTTAATATGTCAAGACATTGCCGTTCAAGACAATGTCGGCGACCCCCTTTTCCTATAAGACACCGTATTAATTTGATTCATTAATGTTAATAAAAATGCATAGGTGAATTTTTTTTTTCAATTCATATGAATCAATGAATTAAAGATAACCTATGTGTAAAATTTGTATAATTTTCTAGTGGTTTTGGATCATCATCCGGTTCAGTAAACACAAATCGAAAATTATATAGAATAAATATAAGTATATTTACTATCCATGAGGTTCCTCATAATTTTTATCAAAATGAGGTACATATTCAAGTGATTATAAATTATTCATAAAAAATTGAGAGCCGATAATAGTGCGTTTCAGTTTAATGGTTTTGTTTAAACTTATTGCTAAAAACCAAATATCAAAGAAAGTGCATCATATACCGAGTCCATGTTATCGGATCTAACGAAATTTCATCCTTCTTGTAAGGATCGGTACGACGCTCTCCATTGTTTAGTGTATTTTCTATATTATTCCAATTTATTATTGATGATTCAGTAATTATTACCGAATGGCTATTTGACCGAACATGCTACCGGTCAACGGCTGGTCACTTGTTTTTACCGCCGTCCTTCGGTAACAGTTACCGAATCTTGGTAATATCGACTGGATTCTTGTATCAGTGTACTAATGATTCATTTATTTGTTTCATTTCTTAGTACCAAGTAAACCGCTGAGATTGACAGCATATGGCATAAATGCCTCATCAATCGAACTCTTATGGTCCGAACCAGAGAACAAGAATGGCATAATCCATGAATATTGGGTGTATTATATGCATTCCAATTTAACCGAGGTCAAGACATTAAGAACGAATAACGAGACCATCGACTTTATGCTGACTGATTTAGGTAAGCTCAGAGAATAATATTTTTTCATATTAGTGGTTTCTCTTCAGTTTTCAATAAAATTGCGTAACCTTTTGAAATTTAATTCATAAATGACACTTACTTAAAATCGGCTGAAATAGTTTTTCAGATGCAGTACAGATACTAGTGTAAGTAGGGCCGTTTTTAAACACTAGGCGATACTCCCGCTAGCCAGGCTGCGTGAAATTAATACTTAAATCAATTTTTTCAATTTGACTAATTCTTAACATCACTTCATTCTGTTGACAACTTCACCAATAATAAACAAAACCGAAGTTGTCAGTAACTACCCTGAAACTATCATCGGCACTTGATAATTGACTGTAGGTGTTGGTTAAAGGTCAGAAAAGTTAAAGGTCCAAATTTTAACCTCAAATGATGTTTGCAAGTTAGTTATACTGAAGGTTCAATTATTAGGTTTATAAAGATCTAAAAAATATAAGGGTGTATTACCCCCTGATTAACCTGACCCCAGCATTCAACTCATCATTCAATCATCGGCAGTTCATAATTAGCTGTAGCCCCCAGTATTCATCCAATCCCAACAATCAACTGTACGGCAGTTGACAGTTGAGTGTAGCCGCCACCACATATTCAACCTATCACCTCAATAATCGCCAAACTCTCATCCTATTGTCAAGTCATGGAACATTTTGATGAACTTTCTAGGGTTCGCTAGGGTGGGTCAAGTGAAATGTCAGTAGCTCTCATATTCTGATTGCTTTGAATCGACAATTTAGGCGGATCCGTTCAATGAAAATTGACTTTTTTTTGACAAAAAAAACCCTTAATAGATTAATTTATTTGTTATAATTCTCATAACTCCATGAAAAATTTCGAAATTTCGAGTTTCACACTCAATTAGCTTCGCAATCAATATAAGATTTCTGCTAATAATCCATTCAAAATTTTAAAGTCCGGGCGAAACCCTCCAAAGAATCGCGAATTTTCATTGTGTGTAATAGAAAATTTACTTTGTGGATTGACTAAGTGGATGCAGAGAGAAACCTGATACTCAATTTGGAAAAACATGTTGGAATGTGCGATGATGTATAATGAAGCCTCATTAATCAAGTCCAAGGATCCGCTAACACAAGCATGGGCATCCTCCAGGCAGCCCCGAACACAGTCATAAACTCGAGTTAGAAACGCAATAAAGTTTATAATTATACCAATCATAAGGGTCCTGGTACCATCATAGTGGAGACAATCGTGGGGGGCATCACAGTTACAGTTTTGGGGAACGTCCCATTAAGCGTTGCGACCTTGGCCAGTGAATAAAATGAAATAATTGCCAGCGATGGCCACCATATTTATAGTATTTGAAAAAACAGGGGAAAAACTCTTGGTATTAAGGGAGGGCCTGAAATGAGAAAAAAGAGGGGTTATAGGGGAAAATGATTCATTCGGGAGAATATGTCTTAACAACGTCTATTTCTCTATAATCAGCGAATATCACCGCGCATGTGGCGACGAGAGGAACGGGGGGGGTTCTCCTTGCTGCCGGCGATGTTGTTGCGGGCCGTGTGTATAGTGGTGAGGAGAGCGCGGAACAAAGGGAAGGAATATTTTGGGACTGGTAGCCAACGGTGACAGGTTTTCTAACGTGTTTCCGTGTTGTTCCTTAATCCTAATTATTCTAACTTATCCTAAGCAAAAAATAAAAATGCATAAATTAGGGGCCTGGGGAGGGGCTAAAAAAGTGCCTCGTCACAGCGTCTACCAAATGTTAAAGTGAGAAACAAAGTGGCCGCGATTTATAAAAAAAGAAATTAAAAAATCCAAAAATGGACAAAAATATTTTCTGATTACGATGATTCTGATGAAATTCTTAGACATATTCTGCTGACGCCTGAATTGAATTGGGAAGAAGAAATTGATTGCTTGTGTCATCTATGCGAATTAATTAAATTCTGCGAAGTTAGTTTTTCTTCTTATCTATTTAATTTTTTCCCACTCTTGGCCAGCATTTTTCAATGCTGTTTAACGGAAACCACGGGAAGGTGGTAGGCGTATTCCGTCAGAAAAAATCATTGAAGGGTGCTAAAGAACGATTTTAATTTGAAGGGATCTGCCAAGTTTATTAAAAAATAATCAAGATACGCGATAGCGTATCTGCCAAGTTGACGTCACAGGCAGAGGTGATGTCACAGGCAGAGAGCTGTCATGTATTATATTTCAGCTAACAACTCGCCCCTAACCCCTTAAAAAAACTTCAATTGCTTTTTTCCCCTTCAAACGCACGCTATTTTGCAAAAGCATTCTTAGATACGTTATATAAATCGCGGTTGATCTTTCTGATGAGATTTTTACTTTTTTCACTTATTACATTATTACAAAAATAACTCCATAGCAACGGATAAGAATTCACTTTCTCAAGAGTTTTATTTCGAGAGCGTTATTATTCCCTAGCGCTGTTTGGGTGGGTTGTTCTAGGGAATAAAACTAGTAAGTATAGGGGAAATTGTCTACGCTTACGGGATTCAGCCGGGTCCGTAGCGGTGGCGCATGAACTAGGATGGAGCCCATGCTTGTAAGCCAATCAAAGAGCGTCAAGTCATTTAATATTTGTGACTTACCCTTTAACAATTGGAATCGATTGTTAATAATTCAATGATTTGAATATTATAACCAAATTAAAAATTTTAGTTCAGTTA